AGTGACTTGTACAATGAAATTATAACCTCTTTAGACTTATATTCAATATTTCTGTAGATACAACCTAAACTCCTATTTGCCCTACCACTAGCAACAGCACACTGCTTGGATGGTTTAAGAGACTGATCAATTATTACACCATGATCCCTTTCTTTCATGACACTGTTAAGATTATTCCCATCCAAATTCTACTCATAATTCAAATTATGATAACCCACATGCATTATCTTGCATTTATTATAATTAAAACCCATCTGCCATTTATTTGCCCAACTCACTAAATGATCTAAATCCTTTTTAAAGCAGCAGCATCCTCTTAACAGCTAGCAACACTCAAGACCTTAATATCATCAGCAAATTTAAGTAATTTATTGACCCTTCCTTCATCTATGCTGTTGATGTAAAACAAAAAGAGCAAAGGTTTTAAGACTGAGCCTTAAGATATCCCACTTGTAATATTAATCCAGTTTGACTGAACTCCATTTGTAACAACCCTCTGCTTTCTTCCACCCAGCCACTCTTCTATCCAATTTGCTAACTCATCCCCTACACCTATAAAGTATATTTTTTTACAAGCCTTTTATGTGGCACCTTGTCATATGCTTTCTGAAAATCCAAATACACCAAATCATTATTAGCATTAAAATCATCTTTCACTCAGACTTATTCAGTGAAGGCTTAGGAAGTTTAGAGACAAATCTTTAATAGAAATACTTTTAAAAAATCTGATGTACAACAATAAACCTAGTAAATTCAGAATTATAGTATGTATACTTTCACAGCTCTAATGTTAGTGAAATCGACCAGCTTTGTTCTTATAGCATTAAAGATTAGGTAAAACTGATTACTTTTGTTCCTTTAATTTTTATAATTTAAAACAATGCAGTCACTATAATATGATTAAAAATTGTGATATCACTATTATATGTTAGATTAGCTAAAGTTAGGTTCAAAATTTGAAATGTAATTCTGTACATGTAAGGTCACATGCATCAGCATCTTTCTAAGTTATTTCGTAATTGATTTATATAGACTGAATCAATATATATATATACATACATACACACACATATATGTATACCTACTACAATTTAAATGGTAAAATATTAACAATGCAACAATTACTATGGTAACTGCACCAACAGGTCTACAGCACAGTTCTACTAGTTACAGTTTTAACAGATAAGGATTGAAAATTACTACTTTAGTATCTACACCAACAGGTCTGAAGTAGGATTTTATTAATTTCATTAATTTATTAATCAATTAATGCAACTATTACTTTAATATATATATATTATCAGGTCTGTAGTAAGGTTTTACTAGTTTCAGTTTTAATGGATAAAGATTAACAGTGCAACTATTACTTTTGGTAACTACATCAATAGGTCTGTATTTACAGTTTCCATGGATAAAGATTAACAGCACAGTTATTACTTTAGTAACTACACCAACAGATCTTTACACAGTTTTACTAGTTTCAGTTTTAATAGAGAAAGATTAACAGTGCAACTATTACTTTAGTAACTACACCAATAGTAGAGTTTTACTAGTTTCAGTTTTTCTAAGAAAGATTAACAGTGCAATTATTACTTTAGTAAATACACCAACGAGTCTGTATAGAATTGTACTAGTTTCAGTTTTTATGGATAAAGATTACACAAGACTGCAATGATTTTTGGTCTTGAACTTTTTACATGTTCTACAGTAATTCCTGTATGCTGAATCCAAAAATGATATCCATTTCTCTCCATCACATACAAGTTTTTCACAAAACAGCATATGTACTTTTACATAAGTGAATCATTTTCATTGAAATTGGGTCCCATTTTGTTATGCTTAAAATGTTGACAACCAATGGCAATAGATTTCTCTAAACCAATCACGACGTGAAAGTCTTGTTCTAGAACCCACGAGAAACACAACGCTAGTATATAAATTGTTAATAGGCTGCATGATATGCCATTTCTTGATATTATTTGTTTGTGCATGCACTTTGACATTTTTTTTTTCTTTTCAAGTATTATATATTTATCACTTTGGCAACAAGAGGTTGTGTAAGTGACCCAAACATATTCTGTTATATATGTGGTAAATTCATTGTAAAGACACAATGGCAAAACATTACAGAATTCATCAAAAAAGCGTATTACGCATATTTTGGAATAAAACCTGGGGACCAAGACAAATCATGGGCTCCACACAGAGTTTGCACTGTTTGTGTCTAAGAGTTGAAACAATGGCCTAAAGGTAAGAAAAATTCTTTACCTTTTGGAATTCCAATGGTCTGGAGTGAGCCTAGAAACCACAGAGATGATTTCTATTTTTGCTCATGTAACGTGCAAGGCTACAACACTTGAAATAAAACGAAATATCTTATCCAACCTTCAATATGCTATAAGACCTATTGCTCATGAACCTGATGCACCTGTACCAACTCCACCAGAGACTGTTGATACAGTTTCATTTGATTCGGAATCTGATCGCAATAGAAATGATGATAGGGATTGTTTTCAACCTGATACATCTCACCACAACTTTTCACACAAGGTGTACTTAAAGATTTGATGAGAGATTTGGGGCTTCCAAAGGATTCTTCAGAGATTTTTGGGTCCAGACTATGGGCTAAGAACTTACTTTCTCCAGAGACATCATTTTACTGGTACAGAAATCGTGAGAAAGAGTTTATACCACACTTGAAGGAAATGTACGAAAAACCGCAAACTTCTTAATAAGGTCAAATACAAAGAACATGGTTGGCTACTTTGTGGAGACTTTAAAGTCTTTTGAATGTTGTAGTGTCAACAGTCTAGTTGTACAAAGTTTCATGTTTTTTGTGTGAATGGGACAGCAGAGCATGAAATCAACACTGAATAAAGAAGCAATAGCCATGCAGAGTCAGCCTGTTACCAGGATCGAATAACACTGAATGTGAAAGTTTGGTTGACACAAAGAAAGTCCTATTACCTCTACTTCACATAAAACTGGACTTGATGAAGCAGCTTGTAAAAGCCTTATACAAACATGGCAACTGTTTCAAGTATCTACGTGGGCAATTCCCAGCTCTTTCAGAAGCAAAACTTAAAGAAAAGATTTTTTTTGGGCCTAAGATTAGGAAATTGACTTTGGATGAATAGTTCGAAAAGACAATGAAGAAAGTTGAAAAAGAAGCATGAATTGCCTTTAAAGATGTTATTGACAAATTTTTAGGAAATAACAAGGACCCAAATTATGAAAATGTTGTCAATAACATGTTCAATAAATTCAAACAGTTGGGTCATTTCTTACAGTCGCATATTGACTATTTCCCTAAAACATTCGTTGCTATCAGCAAAGAACAAGGGGAAAGGTTTCATCAAGACATCAAGGAAATGCAGAGGAGGTGTCAGGGAAGGTGAAATATCAGCATGATGGCTGATTACTGCTGGTCATTGAAAAGAGATGTGCCAGACACAATACATAAAAGAAAGACCACAACATGTAGTTTGAGACTAAAGGACGTAAATTTCTCAAACAAAATCAGGATGAATGAAGATGGACATTCATTTGACATCAATGTTTTTCCCTTCTCTTCACTTTGTTTGTATTTTTGTTAACAAGCATAATAATCAAAAATGTTCATTGTGGTAAATGAAATAATAATTCGATTTAAGTAAGAGTTTGTTTTCTTCCTATTTGTAAAAAATCCTAACGTGATAGAAAAAAAAAAAGGATAAATATTTTCAAAATCTGCATAGCTGAATTATAGAAAATCCAGTAATAAAACCAAAACAACTTT